TTTCTTTATTTCTTTTTTTTTTTATAAATAGTGAATCATCTTACTAATTTGTTCTATCTTTCTCTACTTATTTGTGTTTGGTTCATGCATATGTGGACTATTTGGCTAACATACCATATAAACCCAAGATTCAATTTTGATTTGTGATAATAATGAAAAAATTTTAAATTTCAAATCTATAAATTAAAGTTTAAACGTAATAATAAATTAATTTTAGTTTACAACAGATCTAGAAAACTTACAAAAAAATAAATTTCAAATTTCAGATTTATGATTTACACCCATACTTTGGAGAACGGTTACACGTGGAACCACTCTCCAATCTTAAATGTTTAACCACTCTCTTAAATGCAACATATTGGATAATGCAAGATTTTAAAACAATTCTAAATGCTCTCTAATTTAAAACAGAACTGCTCTCACATCTCCTTTATGGCGTAGTGGAAGTGATGCTACTTATGCTTTTAAATCTTTGATGTCATTTAATTTTGTTTTTATTTTACATGTGATGAGAGGATTTATGGAAATCGCTAACAATCTTTGTCAAGCATTGCAACAAAAATCTCAAGATATTTTGAATGCTATATATTTAATTTCTAGTATAAAATCATTTATTCAGAAGTTAAGAGATTGTGGTTAGGAAACAATTTTAGAGAAAGTTAGCATTTTTTGTGGCAAATAAGCAATTGAAGTTCCTGATATGAGTGTTTCTTTCTCTGACATAATTCAATCTTGTTGTTTAAAAGATGTTGTTATGGTTTAGCACCATTATCGTGTTAATATATTTAATAAATTATTAGTTGATAGAGTTGAATAATAAATTCAATGAACATACAATTGAGCTTCTCATATTGAGCATTGCTCTAGTATCTCATAATGGATTAAGCTATTCATTTAGTTATATAATGAAAAGTTTGTAGTTTTATGACATAATTATGTAAGTTGTTTCTCATTACTAATTTTTCTGTGTATTATTGAGAAACATTAGTCATTAGACAAAAGTGAACTTTTCTTTACTCATGTTTATATATCTTATCTTCCACATGTAAGATATATTCAATTCATTAAAAATTAATTAATTTTAGTGAATAACAAATTAATATAACTATGATGAGATTAATATAAAAAAAAAGCTAATAAAAATATTTGTGTGTATGTATTTATTAAAAATAAATGAAGTAATTAATTTAAGGAAGATAAAACTATTAAGTTGGATGAAGCGCGTCATCTAAAAATAAGCTAACACTTGATCCATGTTGAATAGATGGCTTAAAAAGACATTGTTAAATCATTAACTTCAAATCTTTGTAATCTTGGATCATATTGAATCAAGGCACTAAAAAACTTATGTATAAAATACTTCTTAAACTTTCATGCTCACCGTCTAAAAGAAAATGTGATACACTAATAGCTTGAAAAAAATGACAAAACTTTTTTTACGCAATATTCACTTAAGTACAATATTCTCTTCCTCCCTTAACTCTCTTTTTACTCCACCCCACCACATACACAACTCTTCTCTTCCTCTCCTCACCTTCTCCTTATATCCAACTCCTCCAATCCTTCTTCTCCCACCTCTATACCACCCGCTCTCCCCATCCTAACCTCTTTTTTTTTCCACACTCAGCCCTCTCCTCCTCTTTTTCATGAGAAACATACAAAATTCATTTAAGCAAACTAAATTTGTTTAAGGGAATTTTTGGTAAAAAAAAAATTGTTATTTATTTTATTTTTGCTTAAGTAAAATAAAACTAGATGTCCAGTTATTACTACAATGGGAGAGGATCCAAATCTAACATTCTATTAGCTGTTATACCATTTGTCAAGGTCCTATAAAAAATAATATGACAATTAAGATATGCTTGCATATATCTATAGAAGTATAGTAGTTTGACTAAGTGTATGGTGCAAGGTGTTCTTGTTGCAGCAAGAGATGTCTCACTGTAGCGAGAAAGCCTTGGGAGGAAAACGTGAAACTGTCGCCTTCTCGCTGTAGCAAGAGAGCGACAATTTGGGGTGCAATTCTGGGAGCAGTCTCGCTATAGCGAAAGGGTCTTACTATAGCAAGATTCTGCAAAAATCATAGTGCAATTTTCTCTGAGATTTTCACTGCAGCAACGTTGTAGCGATAAGAGGCGTTGCTGCAGTGAAAGATGCTGTAATGAATGAAATTAGTGATGGACCTGTATCAGTGTCTTTGCAACAAGGGGGAGGATTGGGACACGTGGCAAATGATCATCATGAGGCTGAGAATAGGAGAAGTACACGTGTGAAGTTCACTAATTCTAGGCTACGTGGGTTTCAGTATGGAAAGTAAGGGGTATAAGTTTTCTGTTAGAGGAGAGAGAATGGGTATGGTATGAGTGATTTCATTCTTTTCTCTCTCTGGGTTTGGTTCCTGAGTGGAAACATTCTTCTGTCATTGCAGAGTTGTTCTGATATTATTGTGCATGGTTCATTTCTGTTGCAGGGCTTGATTCAGCAATAATATACCAGGCTTCCGTTTTCATTTCATTATACACTTAATTCCTTATTTTGTCTCGTACTTTTGATCATAACAGATGCTTTACTGTAGTGAGTGTGTCATGACCAGAATGTGATTTAAAGGGTTAGGGTTTGAGGGAATGGGTTATTTTACATTTTCCTTCCTTTCTTCTGCGATTCTCTCAATCTCAAACTCTATTTCACCGATTAAATTGCCTCCAAAGCCATTTGAGAGTAAGATTGAAGATTAAAAACAAGTTTGGGGCGTTTGAAAGTAAGTTTGTGAGTTAGGGTTTCAAGTTTTTATCTCCTTTTCTTTGATTTCTTGGTTTCTCATGGGATTTTTCTTATATTTAGGACAAAATTCGTTTGAGAAGCATGTTTATTGTTAAATTACGTTGTAGGTCTTCATTCGAGGTAAGGGAGGACTCTGCCCTATCTCATTGTGTTTGATTTACCGTTTATTTTGCTAAATATTGCAAATATGGCTGAGATAAAGGGAAAGAAATGTGTGTTGATGAAAATTATTGTGTGTTTAAATACAATGTGATGTGTGATAAGATAGTTGAACTCATTGTGGGTAATTGTGTATTGTGAAATGCCCTTGATTGGTGATTTAATAATGTGATTTGAATGTGGGCCTATGTGTCTTGTGCTGTGAATGAATATGGGCATGTGTGCTTGTATGAACATGAATATTGTGTGCAATTGAAATGTGTGTGAATGAGGCATGTTAAATACGGTTGTGAATATGCTATGAATAGTTCAGCGATATACTGGAGGTGTGGAAGATGGTGACGGTAGAAATACTTTGGGGAAGAGAGAGTGGTAGTGACACCAACAGTAAGCATGAATGCACCACAGGCTACACACTCTCCTCTTGACTAGACCTCTGACCAACATCTTTGTTAAGCGACTTGTGACTGCACACGTGTTATCTGTGATATGGGGGTAACCGACGACAATCCATTGTGTGAATCAGTGACCATAGTGCCACAGTGAGCATGACTATGTCCACTGAACGCACGTGTGTTTAAAAAATGTTTTGGTGCCGTGAGTGCATCGGTTATGAGTTGAAATGAAATTGCTTGAAAATGTTGCATGTGATTGACTATAACTAAATAGAATATGTGAGAATATACGTGGAATGTGTAAAGTGAATCTCTATGTTATGTGTGTGTTGGATAGTGTAGATTACTCACTCTTATATTTATTTTTCAGGTGACTAGGACGATTAGCACCATACTCAATAAAAGATGGATGAAACTACTATAAGACTTAGAAATTTATTTTTAAAAATTTGATGTATTAATTAAGTTTTATAGCAATCATTGATATAAAGTTGTAAATCATTCTTGTTTTAAAATATTTATTTGAACTTATATATTGAGAATTGTTTCAAATGAAAATTTTTATTATTCTTATTTTTTTAAAATTTATTTATTGAAAATTAAATTTAAAATATTATAATTAGCACAAGAATCTTTAATCTATAATATATAGACTAATAAATGAAAGAGTAGTTTCCATATTTTATTCACATCAATAATTTTGTTTAACTATGAAGCACAACTCTGGATGCATATTCTGTTTATTTTATTTTATAAAATAATAACTTACCTTTACTAGTCATGTAAAGATTTTTTTAAATGATTATTTTAAAATTAAAAATTTATTTAATTCAGCTTACTTTTTAAAACAATAATCACATGTTTTTTTATTAATTATTTGTAAAATACTTGATTATATTTTTAAATCAAATCTTCGTGTGATGAAATAAATTTCGGTAAGTGTTCAGTTAAAATATTTACTCATATGTATTCTTAAAGTACTTTAAATTATATAAAATGGACTCTTAGAGTGCGTGTATGTACTCTTAGAGTGCAGTGCATTTAGGTAAGCAGCTTAATTAAGTTTTAAAATTTTATTATATAAATTTAAGATGTGTTTAAATAATAACTTAATTTAACATTTATTTAATAAATTATTATTATATAAGAGGTTTATAACAACTAAATTAGACCATTAAAGTTTTTAACATAATTTAAATAAAATCAAGTTATATAAAAATTATTAAAATAAATTGAAAAGGGTTTATGAGAATAATATATATTTATAAACTCTTTAAAATACATATTTAATCATAAAATTTATTAAAATAAATTTAAAAATTATTTCAATAAATATATTAAAAATTAAATAAAAAAAGTTTAAAAATTTACAAAAATTATTAACTATTTTTGTAAACCTTTTAAAGTGCCCTTTTAGTATCTATAAAATCATGCCTGATATAAATTCTAACATAGTGAAATGGTATGAGTGTTTTTTTTAATGCTGAAAATTTTTATCTTTAATTATTTCTAAAATAGTAATATTACTATTTTGCAAATTAATTTATAAAATCAATTTGTTTTTTTTAAAGAAAATAGCATGATAGTTTATACCTTTTATTTGAAACTTTACAGTAGGAATAAAAATAAAATGTGCCCCTTATTTATTGGCAATCAGTCACAGTCCCAGTAACCTTTTTTATTTTCAGTGTTTCATGGCTGTTCATACAGTTTCCCCAAACCTCGAAATTTCCCCTTACTGTGTTGTTTCCCCTCCATTTTCCCTCGGATTTTCCCGCAATTTCCCTCGCGCGACTCGAAGGCCCTTCCACGTACGCAGGGCCTTCCGAGAATGGCGAGAGTACGAGGAGGCCGTAAAGCGGAAGGACCTCGCTGGAGCTCTCAGGTTCCTTAAGTCCCTCGAAACGGAGCGCACGGTCGAGTCGTTCGTCGACGGCGCTTCTCCGGTGGCCGAGTCGACTCGGCTCCGTTTCCTGGAGTTGGAGCGGTTCAGACCGCAGAGGAATTGGGAGGTTCTGGACACGTGCTTGAATGCTGACGACATGAAGCTGGTCTCTAACGCTTACAAGTTCCTCAGAGATAGAGGTTTCTTGCCTAATTTTGGTAAATGCAGGAATATTGGTGAGTTTTCATCATTTAATAATTATAAGAGTGAATATCAAGTCACTTCAATAGTAACTTTGGATAATTATTCTACTTAATTTTTTGAAATTTTACCATTTCAAAATTTCTCTGTATAAGGATATTTATAAAATTTTATATAGTTCAGATACTAAACACTTTATCCGGATACTTTATTTTAATATAAATTATATTTTTAAAATATAAATAAATATACGAGTGTATAATTTATCAAAAGTTATGCATGATCAGTATGTTAATATTACATTTTTCATCGGTTAGAATAGTAAAATTCAACATTCATAAAAGTTATTTAGCGTAGTAATTTTGAGAAGAGTTTCTCGCAGAGTAACTTAATCCTTACTACTACTACTAGTAATAATAATAATCAACCCCATAGGGTTTAATAGTACACTTAACTCTTTAGATTCATATAACATAATAAGAAACCAGGATATGTTTGTGTTAATGGAAAGGGTATATGTTATCATAAATTGAAGAAGGTTTACAGTGTGTTGAAAAAAGATATAATAATGAGTGTAATATTGTTAAATTCTAAAGGGTATGCGGGTAAATTATCCTAATAAAAATGGATGCCTTAGATGGGCACATAGTTTAAGCCATTTTTTGGTCCATTTTGTGTATAAGGGATGCAATACTTTAGTTTTGTTAAACATTAGATCATAGTGTCAATAACATGATTTTTGTTAGTTAGAAAACAAATTATGAGTTATTACTTAATGGCTTAAGCTTAGAGCATTGCTCATTCTTAATAGGATGTTAGAGCCTTTATGATCAAGTAGTTTCATTGTGGAACATTCGCATGAGGTTGAGTACTTGAGTGGTGTGTCAAATGTAAAGCAATCACAAGCTCTTACCCTACAGCTTAACATTACATGGAGCTTCTATTGATCGAGTGGTTTTGTTACCAGTTTCTTGCTAGACGTAAAACCAAATTGATTATTTGTGATTCCAGTTTCTTCTTTAGTCTATTCTCAATTACCTTTTCATATAACTTCATATGTGCTCATAAGTTTTGTTCCTTTATAGTTTGCACAATTGTGAAAGTACTGGTTTGTAAACCAGATTTAAAAAACAGTACAATGATTACACAGTGTTTCCCCCTAACAAGGAGTTTCCTCTGTCAAAAGATCACAAACAACAAGCTGATGCAATGAGTCAATCACTGCCTCCTATGGGTCTCTCACACAAAATGTATAACACTATAACTGACACACAAATCCAAGGACACAAATACTACAGAAACACTAATAATTCAGATCCATAACTACTGCCTAACTAACTACCTAAAGACACAAATACTGAACAAATACTAATAATTCTAGCTTACCGAGTCTCAGTCTGCCTATCCCTTCACATAAGCTTTCCAAGGTCTATCAAAAAACATAAAATTCTCTGAAAGTCTCATATTTCAGAAACTTGGGGATAATATTATAAATCTCATTGCATAAGTTCAATATAAACTAGAGAGTAGAAACTATCGCAATTCACCATGGAGGCCTCACTACCGTAGTAAAAACTCCACGACATGCTTCTTTCATATTTTGTCCAGATTCTGCCACAGCGTTGAACATTGGTTTAAAGTACTGTATGTGTGATTTTTTGTTCATAAGCTGTGCTTTATTTGTTTTTTGTTGGAGTTTGTGACCTGTGAAAATGTATTTATAATATTTTAGCTATCTGCTGTCATTCACATATGTGATGTATTCAGTGAAATTAACAGTTCCTTTTCTTATCATATGATCAAAGTCATAATACTGGATTTCTGGTTCTATGTTTCAATCAAAGCAATCATTTCTGGCTACACATTTTTTAAGTTTACCAAATGGATGCTTATTGGTATGAACTTTTTTTTTGTTTATTAGTTGTTTTCTATAATCATTATATGTTATAATGCTTAATATGATATATGATGAAGCTTTTTGTTCAATAACTGGAATTTTTTCCTATATATTTTCTCCCCCATTTTCTGATGTCCATCTTGTATAGTTTTGGAGGGACCAAGGAATGTAACACCTGATGTCTTGAGCTCCTCAACTGGTTTGGAAGGTGCATATACGAATTTCTCCCCTTAGCTGAAAATTGCTAAGAGTCTCAATTTCAGTCCTGTGACATTGGGATGATTAACATTTTTTTACAGTTCTACGATGCTAAAAATAGTTCTATATAATTTTCCCTTCCTTCTTTTGTGCAGTAACTAAACTTGCTCCAAAGAAGTGGGGTCTGTCAGATGGTTCAAGCACTGTTTTGGTTGCTTTTCTTTGCGGGGCATCCTTTCTACTATCACAAGGAATTGACATCAGGCCCAACCTTGCAGCGATATTAGGTCTAGCCATTGCAGATGCTATATTTCTGGGTGGTACCTGTTTAGCTCAAATCTCAAGTTACTGGCCACCATATAGGCGTCGAATCCTTGTTCATGAAGCAGGACATCTTCTAACAGGTACATTTTGGATCATATTTGATCCCCCCATCATTATGTGCTGCCATATATTACATCTCACGTGCTCCATCCTAATGAAATGTCAGCTTATTTGATGGGTTGCCCAATTCGGGGGGTGATTTTAGACCCAATAGTTGCAATGCAAATGGGCATTCAAGGACAGGTATTATTTTCATTTTTTTATTTATGATATGACAATTTATTGGTTCAGATGGTTCCTATTGGTAGTATCCAATGTATTATTTCTATGTCGCTATTTGGTTATTCTTATGCATTTGTCAGTTTGATTGAGATATTTGGTAGTTGGTATTAATGCAAAAAAGTACTTTCGAGCAAAGTCTGAGTTTACTGCTCTACTAATAGCCCTCTTTTTATGCTACAACATATAAAATTGGTGGTAATGATAATTGTTCTCACCAAAAAATGGTACAATTTTCGCCCATTGATCTTAGCTGAAGAATGGATTATTTGTATTTGTTTACACTTCTATGCTTACAAGTCTCAAAGTCTAGATTTTATTTCCTGTTCTACTATAATCTTTATTTGCACGATATGCTTCCAAATTTTCATTCCTTTAGGTATTTAACATCATTTCACTTGCAGTAAATCCTTATTTTTAGGCAGGGACTCAGTTTTGGGACGAGAAAGTTGCCAATGACCTTGCCCAAGGCCGACTTGATGGTACAGCTTTTGACAGGTGGGTATAACACTATATATCTTTATGTTGAATCAACCACTGAAAGAATAGAAGGGTTATTTATGTGATTGAATGGTGCACTGGTTAGGGTGGATTTACGTTGTGATAGATGTTTACAGGAAATTAGTCAAACAAATTGAGTTTGATTTTACCTGACACTTTAGTAGTACAGTCTCTTTGCCTTAGAATTCAGAAAACACTTTCCAACTGATACTGAACATTCTCCCAAGCTATTATTCGTGAGGTTAGTTGAACCGTAAAAGTCAAGTTAAATGATTTTATTCCTAGCTATAGCTTCATCAGTTATCAATTCCCGACTCCTGTTTCAATTCTGGTCAGTATCACCGTATTCACTTACAAACTTTCCTTCTGGCCCAAGTAGCTTTGTGTTGATTGAGATAATAAACAGAAACAAATTATGGCAGGAAGTTTTGGACTGATCCCCCCTTCTACCCTTGCCCATTTTTTTTTTCTTTTCTTGTTTTTCTTCATTTTTTGCAGGCTTTCAAGTGATACTGATGCTTTATGTAACCAATGCTTTAGGTACTGCATGGTTCTTTTTGCTGGAATTGCAGCTGAAGCTCTTGTTTATGGTGAGGCAGAGGGTGGAGAAAATGATGAAAACCTATTTAGAAGCATCTGTCTTCTTCTTGAGCCCCCATTGTCTATAGCTGAGGTCTTTCCACAACTGATGCGTTTGGTTTGATGCTTTTTTATCTGTGATACTAAAATATAAACCTTCATATTCTTGCATTGAGCAGATGTCCAATCAGGCAAGATGGTCAGTTTTACAATCTTATAATTTGCTCAAGTGGCATAAAGATGCACACCGAGCTGCTGTTAAAGCATTGGAAAGCCGTGGCAGTCTGAGTGTTGTAATTAGGAGGATCGAGGAGACTTTGTATTCCAAAGAATGAGCCTCACAAGTTTTTAGTAAAAGCAGCATTTTCATTTTTCAAGTTGTTTACAGGTTAGCACCTCTTCTGGCCTTCTTACTATGGAATTATGAGTGTGTATGCTCGTTTTCCTTTTAGTAAATACCCCAATTTATACTTTGAATTTATTTTTTTGACCCAGTTTACTCGCTGAAACAATTGAAAGTCACCAATAGTCCTTCAAAATTATAAATGAAAGAGATTTTAGTCCTATCTATTGAATGTAAGGACTAAAGTGTTTTTAAAATGGTGATTGTTTTTTTCAGGGATCAAAGTGTCCCCTGATTTTTTTTCAGGGGCCAATTTGGATATTCGCTCTTTTTTTTAATCTTTCAAGTAATTTGTTTCACTATCTCTGGGGCAGGGTTCTGGCTACGGATCTGAAAGGGAAGCTGATTTTTACTGATCTTTATGTACTATATAACAGATGTGTCACATCTCTTACGCCATGTCTACCATAATAGACGCAACCAAATGAATAGTTTCTTCATCAACAACTTTTCTGTTCACCGAGGCTGGTCCCCACTTGCACTGGACATGGTTAATAAATAATGCCATTAGAGAGTGTGTCATCGTGAAATGGCAGTTAGCTTATCTTCAGAGTAATTCTGAGCCGTCCTAAGGTTTTATGTCATTTTGACATGCATTTCTACTCGTGGGGAATCAATCACGAGTTTTAAAAAGTGGTTTGTAAATAACTCTTGCAGAAAATATTTCCAGAAATGAGCCATTTTTTGATAACTTTATTTTTCTTCACTGTTCCTTAATGGGAGTCCCAACCTTGCATTATTACCCCGTTGTCGAAAATTAAGCCACTGGTTCGATCCCATGCATCAATGGTTTGAAAATATAGCTACTGGCTATCATTTTCTTGAAAAATATCGTGCGTAAATTGCGTATAATAAATTTGAATTTTGACTAGTTTGATCATCACACGTTGAAAAATGGTAGTGTGGGGGTGAACCCCAACATCCCTTCTCTTCTTTCATTTTCATCGCCTCACGCTTGGTATATGCAATTGGGTGCAATGCGTTATACACTAGGTCCAAAATATGTGAGAATTAATCCAATATGTCTGATTAGTTTATTTTGGACTTCAATAATTTTCTCTAGCTGATTTTATCTTCACTTGTAGTGATACTAGGTAACAATCGCACCAGCGCTATACATTACCCCTTTCTTTCCATTGTAGGTTCTCAATCCAATTCCTATCTAAGATAGTAAGAACCTTCATTTTCTTTTTTTATATATTGTCTCCGTTAGGTAAAACCCTTTTTTAATTTTACCTCTACAAGGTCTCCATCAACACATAGTTGACTATCAATATCAGAGAGCATAAGATCCATTCTACCATTAATAAGGAGAACATAAAATACAGGTAGAAGGCACTATCCTCACGAGTCGGGTCCAACTATGGTAAACGACAGTTCAGAGACCTGAATCCCACGTGAAACTGACACATAGGTTATTTAAAAGCTCTGTTAATTACTTGTTTTAGGAGTCATGTTGCACACGGTACCAAAAATTTTCTCTCAAACATGGAAATGTATTGTAACACACTGGCATGCATGATGAGTATTAACAAAAAGCAGTATGAACACAACTCTTAGCCTCTGTATTTCCAGAACCATCGTTGCTAGGTACTTGCTTTAAACGAATCCTTTTGTGTACAAGAATGAAGAGAGGAAAGCCAAACACGGAAATGCATTGCCACAACATGAAGGGTATGATTGATTATTTTTATGAGATCACATTTGCTCCATTTTAAAGAGATTTTATAAGAAAAACATAACCACTTTAAATTACTCTTCAACATAATTAATTTTACTTAAAATTAACTTTTACCTAACGTAATAAATTGTATTTTTGAATTAAATTAAAAATTTATGTTAAATTTTACTACCAACTACTTCAAAGACAAATTTCCTATCATATGGTATGACTTTAAACCCAATTTTACTAGAGCAGAGAAAAGCATAGAAGCAATTTCCTCCTCAACTGCTGGTACCTGTACATTGATAAGATAATCAACAGTGAGTCAAGGTTTCTCTTCACCCTTTCATTGTTGGTTTTTGCTTTTCTCTGAGAAGAAATGGGCCTCTTAGATAACAAGACCTTGGGACTAGTGTTGTTTATCTTGCATTTTCTCTTATCAGTTCTCTTGTTTCCTCTTTACATGCAACCAGAACCCCCTGAGGTTACTCTATGCTTAGGTGTCATCCCTTGCTTTATCTTGGTTTATGCCACTTTTGTTTGGCGAGATGGTACGTACATGCAAAAGGGCTATTTGTTACCATTTGAGAGTGAAGTCAGTGAAGAAAAAAAAAAATTGATTAGCTTTTGAAAGTTTGAGAAAATGGGCAACTTTCAGGTGCATGTTTTTTAGCCTTGTTCCAACTGCAAGTTGATGAATTTTTGTTCAAGTTGATGGTTGCAGATAGACAAGATGTGAGATTGTGAGGAGAAATTTGTAGATAGTCAAAATTATGTAAGTGAAGTTTTTATTGTGGTTTGTAATACTCATCATTTTGTAGTAAACGATTTACTTGTGCTTCTTCAAGAATGATTAACATTGCTTGAGAGCATGCATTTAGAGGTTACAATTGCCACTAACTTCTTAGTGAAAAAAAAATGGTTTTTCTATTTATTAGTTATCCACCACAATGGCATGTTTGCTCCATTGGCATCTAAAACAGTTGTTAATGGCAGAACTGAGTGGGGTGATGGAGATAGAAACACTTGATGAGACTTCCCATATCATTGCCTCAATTAGAGAAAAGGGGGTTCTTAGGTTTAATACACTCTCAACAATTGAGATTTGGTTTAAATTATTTAATTTTACTTTAATCAATGGCTTGTGCAGTTATCCTACCCATTTGTTAATTTTTAAGTGGAATTAAAGTAGTATTCTTAGTATAAACATTAGGGGTCAAGTAAAAAGTAAAGAGGGATGTATGAATTTAGCCGGTACTCACATGGAAAAGGGCTACACTCAATTGCTTTGTCTTGCATTTTTTTGTCAGAAACCATTGGCTGTGGTTTGTGGTTTTCCTGCTAAATAGTTACTTCTTACTACTGTATTTCCTGAACATCACACACAAAGTCATATGCTGGATTTCTTTTCACTAGATGCTTTGTTTCCTTGGAATATAGATGCTTTAATTATTGACTCATATGACCTTGACCTTTTCTTTGGATGCTACTGCCTAGGGGAGTGTTTATACTTATTAGTATATATGTTCTTTTCGTCCTGTCTGTTAAATACTCCCGTTGTGATATGATATCTTATGGTTCATGGCTGAGCTGAGACTTGGTGATGTCATTGATATTCGGAAATAACATAGGTAATATGATTTGAGGCTCGAATGCTCTTATGAGTTTTGAGTCCTGCTATAGTTTGTTACTGTTGTCATTTGGTTATTCAAGACACAGGTCCATAGTTCTTTTCTTGGGCAAGGAAAGTGTGTAATCACATTAAATTTACAAAGGGCATATTCATATCTTGTCCTTCAATTACATTGCTGTTCTTCTTAACTGGGCCATTTTGCTGAAAGAAATCGGATTGAAATCTAATCCAACTTTTTTAGCTCACAATCTGGCTCCATTTTCAAGCCAATGATAAGAGCAAGAAAAATAATTAATTTATTACATTTGTCATTATATTGCTATAATTGAGTTTCAAAAGCAATTAATTTTAAAAGACTGATTTGAAGAAAATTGCTTCAAAACCAAAATAAGAGAAGGATAATGTCAAATTGTGACCGACACCTTCTCTCATATAATTTTGGTCTATTGTAAAAAAAGTCTTCCCTTATTGTTTTCTGAGTTATAAACTAGTGCAAGTGGAAGTGCCCTCCCCATATACTGCAGTGTTTGTATTTGTAATTTATAGAAAAGGAGAGCTCTATACTGCCCTTCAGTTAAGGCCTCTCATGGTTAGTTGGCCTAATGTCTGTTTGTATAATGAAGTTTTGGCACAATTGATAAATTTTTACTTCACATAAAGTGTTATACACCGACCCCAACAGGCCATTAATCAGTACCATTGACTCCTATAGTTTTTGGATGGGTCTAGTGGTTTTGGTCCTTATGGAATCTCGGCGTGACCTTATGATGAATGGCATGGCAAAACTCTCATACTCTGTATTTTTCATTCTTTTAGTTTCACATTGAACAATTATCACGTATATATAAAATTTATATATTATTTACATCTCACTGAGATTGGTCAAGAGAATCAAATTTAAATTTTTCAAACATCTTATGCTTGGTGTTTTTTTTATTAGAAAAAAGTTCATTAAATTTTTATTTTATTTTTATAATTTAAAAAAAACTCGAAATTCAAATTACAAACTCCTCTTAAGCACAATATTTTTTATTAGAAAAAGATTCATTAAATTTTTATTTTTTTTGGTAATTTGGAAAAACTCTCATACTACCCATGCCATGTGCTTTTAGTCCCAGTCCCACATTGAATATTTATTACATATATGTAGAATTTATATATTTTTAATATCTCAAAGTGATTGGCCAAGTTTAAGAGATTTGAATTCTAAGGCTCCTGAACCTCTTAGGCTTAACATTTTTTTATTAGAAAAAGGCTCATTAATTTTGTAAATTTATATTTTATTTTTGTAATTTAAAAAAACTTTAAATTCAAATTCTAAACTCCTCTTAGCCTTGGCATTTTTTTATTACAAGAAAGCCCATTAAATTTATAAATTTGTATTTTATTTTTATAATTTAAAAAATTCTCATATTATGTATTCTACAAGCTTTTAGTCTTACATTGAATAATTAACACATATATGTAGAATTTATATATTGTTGATGAGTCAAAGTAATTGGTCAAGTTTAAGAGATTGAAATTTCAAACTACTAAAACCTATTAGACTTAGCACCTTTTTATTAGAAAAAGTTTGATTAAATTTGTATTTTATTTTTGTAATATAGAAAAACTAGAGATTCAAATTCCAAACTCCTCTTAGACTTTGCCTTTTTTTTTTTATTAGAAAAAGGTCTATTAAATTTTTATTTTTTTATAATTTAGAAAAACTCATACTCTGCATTCTTTGTGATTTTAGTCCCATATTTAATAATTATCACCTATATGTAAAATTTATATATTGTTGAAGTCTAAAAGTGATTGGCCAAGTTTAAGAGATTTGAATTACAAAGCCCTTGAATCTTTTAAGCTTGACATTTTTTTTATTAGAAAAAGGCCCAAATTAGTAAATTTGTCTCTTATTTTTATAATTTAGAAAAACTCGAGATTTAAATTCTAAACTCTTCTTAAACTTGGCATTTTTTTTTATTAGAAAAAGATTCAATAATTTTTTTTTGTAATTTAGAAAAACTCTCATATTATGTATTCTACGAGCTTTTAGTCCCACATTGAATAATTATCTCATTTATGTAGAATTTATATATTGTTGACTTCTCAAAGAAATTGACCAAGTTAAAGATTAAATTATAAAGCACTTGAAACTTTTTAGACTTGTCTTTTCTTAATTAAAAACATACTCATTAAATTTTTTTTTATTTTTGTAATTTAGAAAAATTCGAGATTGAAATTCTAAACTCCTCTTAGGCTTGACGATTATTTTTATAAAAAGGCC